CCCCAAAACCCCAAAACCCCAAAACCCCAAAACCCCAAAACCCCAACTAAACTCTTAAAATATAATTATAGAAAATTTTAAGTCAAAATGCATCGCGGTGATCCTTCATTTACTAAACAGTGTATGAGTTATCTTAACGTAAGTCACAAGCAGAATTTTGAAGCTAGATAATGCATCCTTAGGCCAGAAGTGTTCCTAAAAGGTTGCTTCAGATACCAAGATCAGTACTAGGAGTTATAATATGAACCACAGTAGTCATGTATTCCTTCTGCACTAGATTTATTTTCATTGATGTGTCCTCGTTGGAGAGCTTTGAATTTTAGAATAGCTACTAGTACTAAAAGATTCAAGAAGATGGGAATATTAGTCACTGGAGATAAACCTGTTGATTTAACTTGATTTAGACTGATCCATTAGCGCATAGCCTTAATAATGATCCCCCTCGTGGTTATCAGCAGCCTGGTAGGAATCCTCAAAGCATTATTTCGACTTCGCCTAAGCATCCGAGAGGAGAAGGGCAATTCGGAACTTCATCACGCACATTAGACAGAAAGTCTAGTCAAAGAAGTAAGTTTTACATTTATGAAAAATTCATGAATATAGGTTCAGCCAGGAGTGGCTCAATGACGGCTCAAGACCAGACTATAGCTTATGCCGAAAAACTAGCCCAGAACGAAGTAGATTTCGTCAAAGAACAAAAGTATTACTTGAACTCTGAGCTTCACAAGCAGGCACAAGAAAAGGAGCTCCAAAGAAAGCTTGAGGCTGAGCGTAAAGCCCAGGTATGTATAAAGCTTAATTTATAGGAGCATACCCACATGCTACAGCAAGAGCAACACCAAAAGTCACTGGAGAATATCAGAAAGCAGCATGATGCCGAAAACCAAAAGAACCTTCTCGATGACTATCAATCCGCTATTGCTAATAAAAGGACCCTTCAGGGGATCGAGAAGACAGTTGAGCTAAACCTTGCCAAAAATATGGAGCACACAGCTAGGGATAGCCTTTACCAAGAAAAAAACCAGAGAAAAGAGCTTCTCTCAAAATTCCAAGATGAGTTCCGTAAAGACTACGAAGACAGGTAAGATTCTTCCCATACCTATAGGATGAATACCAAGCGTGGCCAAAAATACCAGAAAGCAATGGAGCAGGCTGAATATAGAAGACTCTTCGAGCAAAATGCTCAGAGAGAACTGGCTAATGAAGCTGCGTACAAAAAGAGATTCCAAGATTTTGATAGGAATTTAGACAAAAAATCAAAGAAGTATTATCAGATAGTCAACCAGAACGACATGGAACGCGACAGAGCTGTCAGCCAGATCACCGGCCAAGGGCGGATCAACTACAACGACTACTTTGACGAAAGAGAGAAGCAAAAGACGCAGAAGGCAGAGGAGCTCAAGGAGAACTGCTACCAATCCATGAAGAGCACCATTGAGGCAAAGAAAAAATTCAAAAATGATCTAAGCAGCCAAAGAAGAGAGGAAGCTAAATAAAAGTGTTGAGGAGCTACAGAAATACTTGGATGAAGAAAGGTTCAGGAAGGGAGATAGAACTACAAAGGATGAGTATAGACATATACTAGAGTCGCAAGTTAAGATGAAGAAGCAACCAAGAAAGTTCAAGGTCAGTGATATTGACCCTGAAACAAATGAAGTAAAGAGCAGCCAGAGTAAGAGAGAAATGTTCATGATACCTGGAATAAACTCCGTCTCTCCTTATGTGAAAGCCCAACAGAAGGGGAAAGTTGCTCTAGGAGAGCACTACTCGAAGATGAAGAACTATATTGATCACAATCAGGTACTTTTGCACGTTTAGAATAATTTCATATTTTATTTAGCCAGGACCGCTGAATACTTCGCTAACAGATCCAATCAGTATTAGCAAACTTACTGCTAATAACAGCCAGAATTTTTCCATTACTCCTAAAGCTACCTCAAAATACCATCCTTCTACTCAACCTCCTTCTCACAGAGATCCCCCAGCTCACTTAGCCAGGTCAAACATTCTCGCTTCCCAAGGAACCTCAATTCTTAACATTGGTCACCCCACCAACACGCATCACAACCCAGGAGTAGTTGGTAACAAAGTAAGGACTTCTCTATATTAGTATCTCTACAGGAAGCAACAGAACATAGGTGGGACTTCCACGGCCAAGAACAGTTATAACCTATAAAGAGGTGAATCTAAGAAGACTTCAACTAGCTTCAGATAGAATGGGGTTTTGGGGTTTTGGGGTTTTGGGGTTTTGGGG